CTTGGATGACGACAGTGCTGACGGACCAGGTGCGCGGTGGTAGGATACCGAGAGGGGGAGGGAGGGAGGGAGCAGAGATCGAAGCTCCGCTCCGATACCAATGTGACGCACGTGCGGAGGGCACGTGCGGAGATGGTGTGAGAGAGAGAGAGAGGGAGAGGAGATGGACACACACATGAAGCAGCAGCTGAATGAATGTCCAATCCGGCCCAATGAATGAACGAACAACCGAGTGAATGAACCTCATGCCCTGGGCCTAGGCCGAAGTGACATACCGGCCTAGGTCCAGGAACGGGACAACCTGGTACCGGACCAGGGTCAGGCCAACGGCCTGAAACTGGTCCGGCCTCGGTGCCGGGCCGTAGGGGTACCGCTCCACACACACGCACACACACACACACACACACACTAACACACAGAGCTGTGTCTCTTTCTGTCACACACATACACACTTGCATAGGATACTTGCCTGTTCGTCTTTCCACTAACACACATCAATAGAACTGCACTCACAGAAGCCACTGAATGCGCATAACAGCAATCTATATAAAGTATGGCACAGTGCCAAGAACTTACAACTTAAAGTTTGATGAATAATTCCAACTAAATGAGCCAGGTACTCGTCAAGTTCAACCTCGCATACATGAGAGTTCACACGTGAGAAGCCAGATCGAGATACAATCAACACTTGAAGATATCGTCTCCAATATTATTATCAATATAGAAGAATGTTTGTCTCCAGCAGCTCTGCCGCACACGCACGCACAACGGATCTCAACCAGATGGCGGCTATGGCTTCTCCCCTCTCTCTGACTTGACTCGCTCTGCCTCACTCTCTCTCTTCACTCTCCACTAGATCGTTACCCTGGATACACCCGCTCAGGTAGCTTACACCTTGGCGGCTATGGCCACCGTCCTCCTGCTCTACTGCTAGCCTAGCTATGGAGTATCTCTCAAGCGCCCTCTTCTTCTTCGGGCGCACAGTGCCCTAGTTGCCTTAACGCACAAGCAGAAGCAGCGCTTCAGCATCTCGCACCTGGGCTTGGCTTGGCCTGCTTCAGACCGGTGCCGGTCGGCCGCGGCCTGTCTGCTGCAAACATTTTGTCGGTCCGGTAGCTTCCAGACTTTCCTGGGACATGCTGCAAAATTGGACTTTGACTGTCGGACTGGACTGGACGCTTCTGGACATTTCTTGTCGGGTACCGGATGGACTCCTACCGACCTACGACGCGTCGGTACCGCGACACCTACCGACCTACGACGCTTCAGCCTCTAGACCCTGCGGCCTACCCTACGGGACGGCCCTGGGACTTGGGACTTGTCGGGACCTTGGGACTGGGACTGGGAGTCTGCAGCGTGAATCCTTTCACAATACACATAGTAAACAAAAAAAAAGATCGTTTTTAAGTCATTGTGAGACCGTGGATAATTGCACATTGTGTAAACGATGGAATTTATGGACTTCAATATGAGGTTCCTGCATACACACACGAGCACATCCGTGGATAATTGCTTCCCACAGAGGATGAGCCTGCCAACAGTTTTCCCCTGATGAGCCACGGCGATAGAGAATTCCACAAGTGCAAACTGTGCATGCTGAATCTTGTGCACTGGTTGCACACTCAAACCGCCACTTCCCCTGACAGCCGAAAACCCTCGGCCCTGTGAGTAAGGGCCGGGTTCTACGGAGGGGCGGCGACCGTTTGTCACTGGAGGGTCTCCAATCCCACCATTTGAAAGCCGCAACTTTGGCGATTCTTTGTGCTCAGAAGAATTCTTCACAAAAATCTGAAAATTTGAGGGACCGTAGATTAGGTCGTGATCTTTCAAGGGAAAATATCAGAATGAATAAATAAAATCATTTTCACTGTGAAATAATTGCCGTGCCAATTTGGCGCATTTCCAATTTTTTGGTGCAAATTCCATTTTTGCCATTCACCCAGTTTTCCACTCTATGCTACCGGTTCCCCTCGTGAAACAGCGCTATCGGTCCCCCGAGGTTTTTGATGTCGAGGGGATGGAGCAAATAAAAAACCCCACATACACAAGCAAAGACTATTTAAACACTCCATAAGTAGCAACCCAGTTATAAGCATGCATGAACATACATGTATGTGTATATATGGGTTGTGGATTTGCACCACAACAGCCCCTGTTCCACCCAGATGAGTTGTTAAAGCACCCCAAATTCGCTCTCTCATTTCCTCCACAAATTATAACAAACCATCCATAACGAAAAAGTATAGATAGACAATATAATCGAACATGCAAGGTTGGCCACGTTTGTGTGGTTCAGCGCCAAGTGCCCACACACCCATCTGCGTGTGTGTGTGTGTGTGTGTGTGTGTGTGTGTGTGTGTGTGTGTGTGTGAGAGAGAGAGAGAGAGAGAGAGAGAGAGAGAGAGAGAGAGAGNGAGAGAGAGAGAGAGAGAGAGAGAGAGAGAGAGAGAGAGAGAGAGAGAGAGAGAGAGAGAGAGAGAGAGAGAGAGAGAGGTTTGTGGGATGTAATTGGGGATACCATAATATGCAAGACCATGATGTAGATAATCAGGATAGCACTTCTCCTGGATACCGTTCCACGCATTTCGTCAAATCCAAACAGCTCCTTAGACCGGCCACGCATGATCCAGTCCATAACAGAGCTCTCCTTCCCTTCTCCATCACTCGAAGCCGAAGTGCCCCGCTTTGTGAGTCTCCTCATCCGATGATGATCTAGCAGAGGCTCAGTACCGCCCTGGCGAAATCAAGCGCAAATACCMCCATCAGCCTTTTTTTTCTTTTTTTTTTTTAATTATTTAAACCCCCTGCGACCACGCTAGGAGGAGCGAAATGAGCATCCCCTCCTAGCGGGCTGCCTGGTTGCTCCAATCTATTGGTGGGGAGCAGCACCAGCTGGAAGAAAAGGGTCCCGCATCCCACTGAACATCCTCAAAGCTGATTTTAGAAAGAAAAAATCCAGGACACTTGCGACCCATAGTTGTGGAATCCTATTGTTTTTTTTTTTTTTTTTTTTTTTTTGGTGGAATCCTATTGTACTCCTCCACTCCCCCTTCTTCTTTTCTCGACACCAATGCGACAGTTGACCAAAAAATGAGTCAACACATACAAGAGTCATAATTCCAAAGTTCCAAACAGAAGTACCCTGCTCAGTCAATCCCCTGGTATTCAGGCTAATCAATGCTGGCAGGGGCAGGTTCTCAATTGTTCCAATGTTCCAATGTATTGTTTTTCTAATCGGACTCTGGGCCCGGTTCCCAGCACATGCTGCTCCCCACAAATAGACTGGAGCTCAGTTTAAAAAGAAAAAGGAAGGAAAAAAAAGACCTTCATCTGGGCATAATGTTGGTGACACTTTTTCTTTTCCCATAGCGAAAACGGGCCTTTGACCGTGAAACATTATTCTATAGATCAAGATTCAAACTCGTGATCTGCTTATCAACAGCTTCATGTGTGTAGTGCTATCACTGTTGTGTATCATTCAGCTACAGTTGTTGTACCTCGAAAGACCAAGAGTCTTCCAAAGGCCAAGAGTCCTCTTGGTCTTTGGAGTTTTTTTTTTTTTTTTTAAGGGGGGGGGGGAGAACTCTCCCTGCAACAAATAGGAGTGATGATACGAGCATGCACTCCTACCTGTCACGTGGGGGGGTCTGGTCTATTGGTGGGGAACTACACCTTCTGGAAAGCGGGTCCAGCGTCCCCTGAGATACAATGATAAGAGGATGCAACAGCACATGCCGGGAACCGGGCCCAGCATCCCTCATGATACTAGTGTTGAAGATGCCAACACTACTGATAATAGTGGAGTAACTGATGATGAACAACCCCCCTTTTTTCACCTCTTCACCCTTTTCGGGTGCCGGATTCGTCCGTTTCTTACAAGTGATGATACATTTGCGAGATCCCCCACTATTCGTCACATCCAAACCATGACCTAGGAACCAAACTCAAAGGGGATGGAGGAAAGAGACCCGGGGAATCTGCAAGGGGTCTCATAGGGACAGATGAATCCACTGAAGACCAATCTTCAATAATCAATCAATAGTCTCTGCACACTTCTTCATTGTCTTCCTCTTGAGCCCCTTCCCATTTCACCCTTCCAATTTCCTTCACGAGCTAAATATCTTCCCTCATTGCGTGCTTGTACGCAAGCTTCCAAAGCTACTCGGTTAGCTACAGCTCCTGAAGCATTTCCCCAAGGAGGATGACCTAAAGTACCTCCTCCAAATTGTAATACTGAATCGTCACCAAAAAATTCTGTTCACCCCCCAGCCAGCAGCGACTAAGGTCCTGGATGTGTTTGAGAATTTTAGGATGTAAGTGTAAAAAATGTTGTATCTTCTCCTTTGTTTGTTCCCATTTGACTGAGATATCATTCCGAATCTGTTGTCGAATTGTATCTGGAAATTGCGGACCATCCAGTCTTGCTCCTTCCCACTCATAGGTACACCTTCTCAACCATATTTGCCCACAACATAGCTCTCTCCTGCCAATTATGAATAGATTTTGAGTGAAGTCATCATCATGTGGATCTCATACGGATGATGCTTCTAGTAAAATGGCCTTCCAAATTCCAATACCATGGCCATTGAGTTTGGGGTACCATCTGACTCCAAATTCTATCCCACCATCTCCATAGCCAGATGGCTCCCGGACATTGCATGAATATATGCTCAACGGTTTCTGGGATTGTTTTAGCCGGACATGCCGTCTTACAAAATTTACACCAGAGACAGACGGGGCTGCAAGGGAGCGAGAAGAGAACAGCCATGGCAGACATTGGCTAGGTTGGTACTGTCTCTGAGTCACAATGTCCTCGTCGTATAGGGAGGGCCAGGAGTTGTTCTAAGATTAGGAGGTCGGAATTGCTGATATAGCATAGTCTCCTTTTTACACTAATTTTCATTATCATTAGCATCATCATCAGTAGTATCATTATCATCATCATGATCATTATCATCACCATATGAGGGACGCTGAGCCCGGTTCTCTCAGCAAGTTCGGTTCGGTTACTCCGGGCAGAGCAGACTGTGAGGACCCCGGCCTCAATCTTCTTATTGGAAATATCAGCCTTGGCCACTGGGCCCGTTTTATTAAAAAAAAAAAAAAAAAAAACCCTTCTTGTTCCATCATAAGAGAGCAGTCTGTCAACCAGTCATTCATTGGTGGGCAAGGTCAGCAGGTGTTGGACTGTACGGGGGGTTGCTGGGGCCAGTCGAGCCAGATGTTCCAGAGCTAAGATGCAGCAGGGCCGGGTGGAATTGTGAGGTCCCCGGCCTCCCTTTATCGATTGATTGAAAGTATTGAATTTAGGGGKGGGGGGGGGGGGGGGAAWAAAATGCACCAGGGGTTTTGGGGAGCGAAGAAGGCATCGGTGTTCAATTTGCAATTGCGGGGAGGCCACCTTTGCAGGTTGGACTTCACAAGGCTGAACCATTTGATATTTAGGTCCTCCCTACTGATGTTGAGTTGATGCATCCATCTGCTCGTTACTTTTTGTCTTTCAGGTTGATTTTTGGGCGAAGCATACGATAAGTAGATTTTACTGTCAGGGTATGGAGAGCCCTGGCATATGTTCTTTCTTTCGTACCATGTAATGTTCAAACCCCGTTGCCTGGATCCAGTGCCAAATGGGGAATTGGGGTGTCTGGTTTAAATGCTAGCCAAGTATTTTTCATTTGTAGGACCCTAATTCTGAAGATTTGGTTAGCAGTAACCCATTCAATGTCCCCTTTCTCCTTTGGGGAAACATTAGTACCTTGTGAGAGGTCAAAAAGGGATACCAGAATGTCCCCCTTAGGGAACTTGTCCATGACGTTACCAATTACTCCAGGCTGGTCTCATGACGTTACCAATTACTCCAGGGCCCAGGCTGGTCTCTTATAGACACACAATCATTGGTGACAATTTTGGGGCCATTTCTCAGAATACGGACCCAATCCAATGGTATTAACTCAATAATTTTTTCCAGGGCTCCGTCAGGATGACGACATTAACAAAGGAGTTTACGTAACTCAGAAGATGAAATCCAGTCTCGAGATTCTTGAGATCCCATATGTCTTTGATACTTAAAATACCATTTTTAACCCACCCCTTCCAGGTCTTTGGAGGTATAATAATGACAATCTCCAGCGAAAATGTGAGAAACCACAGGGGTGTCATCATTCTCTTGAAATTAAAATAATAAAAATATTATATTATATTATACTCTAAAGTAAGAGGAAAAGGAGAGTAATTTATGTGAGGGATGATAGTGATAGCGAGAGGAGGGAGATGACATTGGTTTGGGGGAAAAAAAAAAAAAGGCAACGACAGATTACATCCTGCCACGCGATGGCTTGCCTTTCTTTTTTATAGGGTTTTTATTTTTTTCGTCTTATTCTTTCTCGTGGACAACAAAAGCAGACATGATAGTAGAGCAGGAGCCAGCATGCACGCACCTTCCTCCTCTTTTTTTTTTTTTGCCAGATCTTTCACTTTCAGAAATCATCACTACGTGCAGTAGAAAATTACCGCATGCACGCACCTTCACAAGAAGCGTCGAGCTAGCTCAACAATTTACTAAAAACGTGACGTTACACCTTCGGTACGTTTCCCAGCCATGTTTTCAAAGAAGCGGGGCTCGCACACTGGCGCAACTTTCGGGGGTCGGCTGGCAGAGCAAAATGACTGGTCGCACCAGCCAAAACGAGGCCCGCGCCCTTTTGTTTTTTTGGCGCAGTGCATTTCCAGCCCCGGAGAAGAGTGCCTTGAAAGTACTCGAGGTTCAACTTTTTTTTATGCAAAAGGACCTAGACATTAAAACGCCCGGCCGAGCCATCCCAGCTGTGCACCTGGGCATGTCACCCAGGGAGGTCTGACGTCGGGTACCTGAGCACCCGGGCATGTCACCCGAGGAGGTCTGATGCATGGGGTACCCGGGCAGTGGGGGGTCCGAGAAGAGCCCAAATCCGGGCTCTTTTCTTTTCTTCTTCTTCTTCTGTTTTTTGTTCTTTTTCTTTTTTTGAAACTTCATGCACCGGGAGCCCTCCTTTAGGGGGTTATAAGAGCAACTACAATGCTTGTGCAACCTACTCTAAAGCTGCGTAGCAAGGCGAACGTGTTTGCGTGCCTCCACATTCGCGCAAACAGCTGGCGAACGTGTTCACGCGAACAAATTCTGTTTTTCGTAAAAAAAAAAAAAACTTTTTTTCGGTTTTTTATTTTTATAATGACCCGCCATAACACTGCTGATTTCTGAGTTCTGCCGATGGTATGGATGCTTTGCTGAGATTCCCACATTCTGCTGAGTTTTCTAAGTCTGTGTGTGTGTGCGCGCTTGGTGACCTGCGTGACTGTCTGAGTGCTTGTCGGCACGAGTGTGTGTATGACCCGCAGGGGTACTTGCTTGCTTGGGAGGCCCGTAGGGCCGATACTTACCTGCGGCCGTGACATTGATGGTTGCAGCAGGGAAAACACTCAAGTGGCGGAGCAAGAGGCCCGTGGCACTTAGAGCAGCGAAAAAACACTCTAGTAGCAGGTAGGCCGGTACCACACCCAGTAGAAGTAGATGTGCCGGGTACTCGAGGCCGAGCAGAAGAAGACAAAGTTGGCATTTTTAGAGGCCCAGTAGCGGTAGACTAGGTCTAGGCGGGTACCAGTCCATCCACTCTGAGTGTAGGGCCTGTACGGGCAATATCAGAGTCTGCAATGATGTTTCCCTCCGGAAAGGGAGGAGGTACCGGTTGCTTGGGAGGC